TTTTTTTGAGCGTCGTTACTACCGTAATTTATGGCTGATTGAATTCGTGGTTAGATACACCGCGCTCTTGTATGGACATTTGAACATCGCGTAGTAGTGTGAATATTGCATTGTTGTCTTAGAAGCGTTGTTGGTTAATCCATGTAAGTTAGGATTACTGAATAAATCATATTGGGGATCTTTATCTTTTATTTCCAATATTAATTGGTAAGTTATTGATATTGTGAGTTACTTAGGGTATCTGGAGGATTAAATTTACCTGGCGCCCATTAAGATCTATTTGAAATTTGCTAAGTTGTTTAACCCACTCCCGTCTCCACTGTTTAGCTTAGCCGCGGATACCCATCTGTCTTATTTGTTACCGACAGATGATTTAGTCTCCTCTTGTGGTTTGTGAGGTGACAAAAATAAAGGTTTGAAACTGAATTATTTGGAAGCGATGGAAATTAATAAACTTAAAAATTCAAACATTCCAATGAATGACCAACTGGATTTGAATAAATCACCATTATTGAACTTGTTTTCTTAAAAACCGAGAAAAAATTATTTTTGATGTGAATGGGAGGTAATATGCTTCAGGTGGTCATAATTGAACAGGTACCTTAGGTAGACGTTAAGGTAATTTTTTAGAGGTAGTCTCAATTATGGTTACCTGTAGTAGGAGAAGGGCGGTCATAGTGGCCACTGCGGGCAAAGTTGCCACTTGAAGTTTTCTTCCCTGTATAGTGCTGCAGCCTCACGGCAATAGTTTCAGTAGTTTCACGGCAATAGTTTCAGACGTAAACTCATCAATATATCGCAAATTTTCCACTTTTTCGACCCTCTGATGTTAGGTAAATGCATCACATGTTTCGCTTTAGTTTATTGTAGGCCTAGGTGAAGTAAATTGTACATCAATCGTGCAAAACAACATGTTTCTAGCTTCGAATTCATATGTCTCTACAGTAGTGAGACATATGTCGTACGTTGTACGTGAAATATTGTATTTAGAAAATGGCGTGATTGTGGCCACAGCCGTGGCCACTTTGCCCGCGAATGTGTCCACTTTGCTCGCAATGTATGTTGCATAAAACTTGATTTTTGAAACTGCATTCATCACAAACAAAACTAAGTAGGCCTATAATATCAAGAGCAAGATTACGGCAAACTTCAGTTATTCTAATTCCGTGTTTTTTTTGCAGAAGAAAAACAGTATAGTGTCCAAGTATAGAAGGAAAACTGCTCAGCAGTCCTGGAACTCTGAAGCTATGCAAAAAGCCATTGATGCAGTGAAGAAGAACGGGTTGCCTTGGCAAACCGCAGCTAAAAAGTTCTAGGTACCTCGAAATAGGTACTTCAAATAGGCATGCACTCGACAAAAATGTTCATGCAGTAAACACAAAAAAGGTTCTTGGTCACTTTCGGCCCATATTTACTGAGGAGCAAGAAAAAGAAATAGTTAACCATCTTTTGGACATGGAAGTCCATTTCTTTGGTGTAACAGTCGCTGGTGTACAGGCTCTTGCCTACAAACTCGCTGTTGAAAATTGCATACCTCATAACTTTAGTCATGAAAAAAAAGCTGCTGGAACAGATTGGGTACAGGGATTTAGAAAACGCCACCCTATGATTCCATTACAGAAGCCTGAGGCGACTTCAGCTGGACGGGCTCAAGTGTTTAACAAAACTAATGTATCAAAGTTTTGTGACATTTTGGAAGGCATTCAGAAAGATCACGTATTCCCACCTCATAGAGGAAGAAAGGAACATCAACAGTTCTAACATCCAGTCCATGTAAGGCCACTCTCATGGCAATCACGAATGAAAAAGAAGATAAAGAGAATGCGAAACAACGTAGACTAGAAGCAAAAAGAGAAAGGGAAATCGAAAAGAAACAGCAGGCTCCTAAGAAAAGGGTGGTTAAAATTGAAAATAAAGGAAAACGCGCATTGTTTAAGAAAAAGAATGACGATCTCTATAATGATGATGATGAAGGCAACGTCAGCGACGTTGATTGTTTATTCTGTGGTGATTGTTACTCGAAATTATATGTCAGTAGAGATTAGTTTTTGGGAAAGAAAGCTTTCTGGCTTCCACTTCTCCATCTTTATACAAAAATTTGTGGGAGATATCCCAAATGAAGCAAAAAAAAGAGTAAATGAATGAAGAATTCACAAAGATGTGTAGTTAATTAGTATAAACAATCCTGAGGAAGGTATTATATAGCAAAACACGTGTTGCGGTTTTGTAAACTATTCAGTGAAAATCTCATGATGAAGTATTACTTAAAAGACACAAATGATACTCGTACTGCCTTGAATGGTTTGTTGATTCAGATGTATACCACTATTCAACGAAATAGAGTCTTCCTCTCCCGTATAGTTCACTTTAAGAACTCTATAATTAATACCTACTGTTATGGTTCTATTGTAAAAACATTTTACTACCCTTTTTTATACTTGGTTATTTCAATTTATATAGATAAATAATTTAGCTTTTTACTTCTCCATCTTTATACAAAAAAATGTGAGAATCTTTCAAAGAAAGGAAAAAAGCAAATTATTTCAAAATTAATATTTCACAAAGATGTGTAGATCATGCAAAGAAGTAACTTTCAGACAGAAACTTAA